TGGTAAAGCTACTTTTGGGCCGAGAAGATGTCAACCCGAATGAGCAAGACAATGAGGGCAATACACCCCTTTGCTCTGCCGTAAGGAGGGGATATGAGGCGGTGGTGAAGCTACTTCTAGACCGAGAAGACGTCAACCCTGACCTACCGGACGATGGGGGCAATGCACCCCTTTCTTGGGCCGCAATAAATAGGCACGAGTCGGTGGTGAAGTTACTTCTGGACCGGGAAGACGTCAACCCTGACCTACCGGACGATGAGGGCAATACACCCCTTTCTTGGGCCGCAATAAATAGGCACGAGTCGGTGGTGAAGTTACTTCTGGACCGGGAAGACGTCAACCCTGACCTACCGGACGATGGGGGCAATGCACCCCTTTCTTGGGCCGCAATAAATAGGCACGAGTCGGTGGTGAAGCTACTTTTGGACCGGGAAGACGTCAACCCCAACAGGCCAGACAATGAGGGCATTTTACCCCTCTCATGGGCTTTAATCGAAGAGCGCTACTCAGTGGCTAAGCAGCTTTTGGACCTGGGAGTTGTCAACCTCGATGAACCAGACAATCAAGGCAATACACCCCTCTCCTGGCTGCAATTGACGGCCAATTTATACTTTTCTATGTATCTCAGTGCCGATACAGAACAGCCGCCGAACCTACTACAACAAATCCGGAAGCCTGCAACTCCCGCCTCGCGCCCACCTATGTACCCCATACTCCGTTTTTCACCCCCCACCCCTTCCCCGGACTTCTAGAGCGTACTATACTATACACAATCATTTCTTCCTCTCCCTGCGATTGCCCTCCTCCCGAGTTAGTCCTTATCCCTAAACTCGCAAATTCTCCCGTGTCTCCGGGACCTCGGGCATATCCATAATTATCAGAAGCCTTCCAGATATTTAACGGCGTTGTGATGAAGTGAGGGATTTTGAATTTCTATTCTGCACGGTTGGAGTCTATCTAGTCGTGGGAGAAAGTTTTCCCAATTCATCTTTGTCCATACAGCCATTGCTTTGTTCCGCTGCTCCCCGTCTCGGTTTCACATTACAGACGCTCCCTTCCATGTACATGTTCTTTCCATTTGCTATATATTCTCGATTACTTCCTTCTTTGCTTCCTCCTCTAGAATGATAGAATGATATTACCGTTTGAATAATAAAGTTAGGTCAGCATAGAGCCCAAATTATCACTCGCCCGTTTCTCTCTCTACTTTAGCACATGATGTCCGCACCGCCTACCATTGCAGAATAACAATACCTGGGCACAACCTTCAAACAAGTTCGTATCCCGACAGCCCTAAGTACTACAATACCTAAAAATATTCCTCCAGGTTATAAGAGCACGGTACTCCACTGGTGACCTCCAGAAACCTCATCCGGAAGCCCTCAGTATTCCCAATTCTACAGAACTACTATTGACAAGTATTATTCCGTCCGCTCTAGACTGGCCAGAACACTTCTTAAAACCAACAAGCAGGATTTTCTATGCTCGGCGTATTTTCGAAAGGGCGCAGGGTGGCTGTTTACCTTCCCAATCCCACAAGGACGAAGAATCGCAGACCGATCACGTATGACAAATAGTAAACGGATGAGTGGGTTTCGGTGCGGGGTGACCCACTAGCCGGTTGTTGGAGGAGAGTTAGTACTGGGGCGAGGAGGAGGAATGCGATCATTGGTTATCACTCGGAAGTTAGTATTCTCCATGTTCAACAAGACACTTCCATGCTCTCCACGGCAGAAAACGGTAGACCGTCGATCATCTGTGCTCCCTGCACATCAGTCCTCGTGCTGTTCACAAACATTTCCTGTCCGATTCTTCTTAAAGGCGGAGTAATTTCCTTGACGTATTCATGTTCCTATCCAGCTATCACCCGCCCCCACTTACATATGCAGCAGTTATTCCCTTTCAATGTCTCTTCCATCGACCAAATTATTTGCATAATCCCTTTTGATATAATAACTTTATGGACGGGTTCGCTGATGGTGCTTCTAGGGCCGCTCCACCCACCCCCTACCACCCTCACCGACAAATGCAAGATACCCTCCACCCACCTCTAGCATTCGCTCGAAGCCCTCCCGCAAGATGCCGTTGCAGCCATAGCTGGCGCCAAAGCTCTCGTAGAAAAACACATCCCTGGACCCCTCCTATTCTCCTACCCCTCGTTCGCTTGGGTAGGCGTCCGATGTAACACCGCGAATACAAGTGCAACCTGCGCCAGCACCATGGTAGTTGCGACGACTGCCTAAGCACGAGGGAAGGGTGTGCCTCCGCTACCTTTCCCGGAACGGTGCAATCTAGGTATGAATAGGGTCGCCGGGTCTGGGATTCGCTCGCAACCCATGGTCGGTATTTGCAAGTTCGGCCCGGCTCATAGCGAGAGATTTCGGGCGGAATATTGGCGGGGAGCGGTACGCTGGCGGTGAGCTTATTGCTAGAATTGTTGCTAGGGTTCTCGGGAACCTCATGCCTGTGGAGTGAATGGTACTAGTGGCTGCCTCTATCTATAGTATCGGGCTGTGGGTCGCTTTGTTAGGGAATATAAGAGTTTTGATAAATTGGTTGTGATGCCTATAGCCGGAGGGTAGGAAGCTCCCAGCGAGGTCAAAAGTGTGGCTCTCGTTCTGTAGCAGTGACATATCCAAAGTATATTCAATAGCCCGCCTTCAAACCCCCCTCTCCGCTCTCTCCCTCCCCCAATTACACCTCCCTACGCTTTTCATCCCCCCCTCTATCCGCCCGTGGTATCACACCCTCATAGTGTGAACCCACCACTCCACAAATCCAAGTAAATCAACACACAAGCACCCTCCCCGCATACAGCCCCCCCGGAAGCTCCCCTGACACACGCCAAATCACCCGGCCAAACCCATCAAGAAAACCACCAGAATTTGCCTTCTCCCCCCCCCGAACTCCCTCTTGTGCCAGTTTTCCAGCCCTCCCGGGTCGAAGTGCATATCTAGTAGTCCGCAGCCCCAGATAAGACCGCCAGCTCTCGTCTATGACACGTTCAGTGGATACTTTCCAGTGGGGAGGGTCGGTTATTGATGGTGTATTGTACCTCGTGGTGCCACCCCGCATTCTCCCGGGCGGGCAAGATCTATGTATCGGATAGTGTCTTGATAGAAGTGGGATAGTGTGGTGGGGTTAAGCCCATATCACACCGAAGGTCTCCCCCCCATCCCACCACCCCGGGGCGGCCGGCCCAGAAGTCTACGCACAGCGAGGGGGAACCCCATGCGTAACTCCCGCCCCCCCTAGCCCGCTGTGAGGATACCCTCCGCTGACAAGATTGAATATTATCATACCGGGGGCTCAGCCGTATCTCGATTGGATTACATCCGGCTTTTCTTGTTATCTCCGCGTCTTTTCTCGCACTTCTCTGAGGATTCGCCGCTGATTTTTTTCTCCCTCTTTTTCTCTTCCGAAATATCCCGTTTGGAGTTTGTGGTGTTGACGGCTGGGCTGCGGAGTTGGGTTCGGGAGTGATATCTCGTGAAGCGAGGCGCGAAGCTCGCGGGTACGGACCCCCCAATAGGGGAGAGGGTGAATTATATAGCGGGCCTCTGTGAGGGGGGCTAGATTCTCTACCTTTGTTTATTGGAATCGGGTTTTATGGGAGGCTAAAGATATGGGTGTTTAAGTCACCGGGTCACTGGAGGGGGATTGTTTGCCGTGACAACGTGAGGCTGACTGAATGGCATTGTGGATGGAGGCTCCAGTGGCAGTCGAAAACCGTAGCAGATACCGCAATAATGAATGCATTGGATAGAGGTCTAAGTATCCAGGGCTGAGACGTGTTTTACATTCACCCATCCTTCAAATCAAAGGACATCACAAAAATAAAGGGTCGACAAAGTCTTCGTGATATCTCGCCGACACCTCACTTCACTTCACTCAACTTCACTTCACCCCTCGAGGCGCAACGAAGGTTGTATCAAGAAAAACGTAACCGCACCAGCCCACCCAACCAATCCAAGCAGAGCGATAAAGAAGCCACCTGCCACAAAACAAATGGCGGCATCCGACGCAGCAAGATACTAAAACCCAAACCTCATCCACCTCATCATTAGCAAGTCAATCCGGGGGAGTGAAACCCTCATCTCATTCTGGAGTTGGAAAACGGTTTCATCGGAATATCTAGTCGTGGCCATACATAGCGGTTAGGCGAAAACAGTTCACAACTCGGGTGATCGCCCGGCCAACGAACGCAGTGAATCGGAGCACCAAGAATTAAGAAACGTTCTGACAGTATCGGTGCCTTAATTTACACGAGTAGGGGGTATATCATATCACACTGGAGAGTCCCAATCGAAAATAGTCCTCATCGGGCAAAACTCCTTAAGCGCGCAGTTTCACCAAGCAGAAGAGCTTAAAAAAAGCGGTCGGCCAGGCGATCTCTGCTTGCCGCAGCAAGGGTTCACCCAAGCGAACCACACAATGCTTGCTCACATGCTAATACTGGAGTACTCGTACTGTACTCGTACTGTACTGGTAAACCTATTCCTGTGCGAGTGCAGTGCGAAACGTTAGCTGTGGCAAGTATGACGTTGGGGGTAGTATTCCTGCTTTTTACCCGAGTTGGGAGGAGACTTGATACCGGTACAGTACTCGTACTCGAGGACCCTTAACCACTTACCGGTATCCTTTCTCCTTTCTCCTTCCCCTTCCCCCTTCCCCCTTCCCCCTCCCCCGCCGTTCCCATCGTCCGCCCCCCATTCCCCCACCCAATTGCCCCTGTGCACGGTTTAGTGCCGGTATTCGCAGATTCCTGACCCTTTGAGCTCATTTTACCCCTTGAATGAACGAACGAGCGAACGATAATCGGTTAGGTCAATATCCTGCGCGCGCGCTTCTTTTTTTTGGGTTGTCTCGGACCAACCTATCGGGTCGCTATCAGAAGCAACACATCAGACACCGGTAGCCGGCCAGGCAGATATCATAGTTTTGCAGGGACGACAGGATATCTCTAACACTGCAGAGAGCGACAGAGAGGGAAGGAAAGAAAAAATCATATAAGAAGCAATCCACCCAACCACCACAGATGCCTCAAATGTAAGCCGGCCTTCCTCTTTCTTCCCTCCTTTTTACTCTCACATACTATCATACCCATCACCGCCACAAGATCCGAGATCTCATTCATTTATAATATACTCCCCCTCCCCTCACACCCTCAAATTGCAAACGAAATGGCCATTCTACCGCCCCCTTACACCCCCCGAAAATCCTCCCCGAGTCCAAAGCGCTCACCTGATGGAAGCAGAACCCGCAGTCTCTCGGTCCGCTCCTCCAAATCTCGCTCGGACACCCCCGCCCCATCCAAGAGGCACCGCTTCACATTCGCAAGCTTACGCGGCAACTACCAACCCGAGCTGTCGAAACGTCTCTTCCGCCTGATCAAGAGCGAGAACTACGTGATCAACGCTTACGAATCAGCTGGGCATGAGCGTCAATCGGTAGCCACCCAATTGTCTGAATGGGGGGAGCAAACCGGCGACGATGCGGTGTCGGAATTGAGCGATAAGCTCGGTGTGATACTCACAGAGATTGGCGCCCAGGAGGATATTTTTGCCCAAAACTTGGAAGACTACCGGAGCATCCTCAAGCAGATCCGCAACACCGAGAGCGGTGTGCAGCCGAGTCGGGATCACAAGACGAAGGTCCAAGACGAGATTGCTCGACTAAAATATAAAGAACCCACAAGTTCGAAGTTGGTCGCCCTAGAGCAAGAGCTCGTCCGTGCGGAGGCCGAGAATCTTGTCGCCGAAGCACAACTCACCAACGTCACTCGAGCAAAGCTAAAGGAAGCCTACGCCCAACACTTCGCAGCAGTAGTAGAACGCGCAGAAAAGCAAGCAATCCTAGCTAAGCACGGCCGACGGATGCTAAATCTACTGAACGACACCCCCGTTGTCCCGGGAGACACCCACGAACCCTTCAACGAGGAAAGGCAAGCTAGACAGATCCTCTATGACGCGGAGGAGGACCTACGGATCTGGACGCTAAACCTCGAAGAAGTCCCCACACAGGCACACCCCGTCGTTGGCGGCGTCCTTGACGGTAAAGCTGCTGCTACCACATCACTTGCCCCGCGGACAGCGGAGTTGGGAAACCACCCCGCTCAACTAGGCATTCACCCTGCGCACCGGAAAGTTAGCGGCGCATCGAACCATTCAAGCGCTGGTAGCAGCAGCAGCAGTTCTACAGCTACAGACCCGCCATACCCGATTAGTCAGGAGGAGAGAAGGAGGAGAGAGGACATGATTGTTGCTTGCTAAAATACATCGGGAGCACTAACTAACTTGTCCACCACCATTGTATTGTATTACTCACGCCCCCTTTTGAAGAAGATTTCCCTTCTTTTATTTTATTTTTCTTTTGTTTGATGGGATTGCATAGGACTGCATAGCCTTTGGGTTTTTTCTTCCCCTTATTTCGCCGGTTTCGTAACGCTCGCTTTGTTTAAATATTCCCTTCTTTACTTGTAGTTTCAGTAATTGCTCGCCACCGACACACGCCGAAAAATAAATGGGACATTTTATTATTTTTTACTCTTCGAGATGTAACCTATCGCTGCACCGTGCTGCACCCCTTGTAAACACGCCGCCAAAACGTCGGCGCCACATCATCACCATCATCACAAACAACCACTCCCTTCCAACCGCACAATACGCAAACACCCCACTCCGGAAAAACCATTATCCAGCACTGTACCGTACACACTGCACAGCACCCCACCAACCCCCGCAACTTCACGAGTCATCACTCATCCATCCCACCGGACCCACCCTACACCGAGAGAGAACCATACCGGTAGTCTAGTATCATATCATATTTCGATGACCCCAACTCGAACAACTCCAATAACCCTCGGAGCAAAATAGAGGGGAAAGGCCTACCGTAAAATGGCCGAACACATATTTAAATAAATAAAGAGAACAATAATGAGCTCAGAATAAGAAAACCTGTTTTTCTGGCAGTCTTCAGCCCCCTTAATGCACCGTTGTTGCGCCTTAAAACCTAAAGGGCAGAAAAGAAAGAAAGAAAGAAAGAAATGTATCCTAGCTTTACCTAGCTTTATGCGAGAACATGCCGTAGCCACTGAATAAATAAATAAATGAATAAATGAAAAAATAAATAACCAATGAATGCGACACGATTCGAAGGAGTGCCTGGTGGAGTTGGGGGCTTGGAAAGCAGAACTAATGTGCGGGATAGAATTGGATCAATTGAAACCCGAACCATGACAAAGTTGGCGTTCCGCAGCCACCGGATGCGAAGAGTAAGTTGCATACTGTACGAGTACGGTGCTAGCACAAGAATAGGAGGGTACGGCGAATTGTCATAAATAATAAATACCAGAAGGGGGTCGTTCCCCCCCCCCCTTCTTCCCGGACTCGATTTACGAGTACTCGAGTACTCTCTCCGGTTACTTTGTTGGGTTTTTTTCAGTTGAAACTAACTGGAATGGTGTTCTCCGGGGTGGGCTGAGTGGAGGGTTATCTATCTACCGTATCATATCCGTTTGTCTGTTCTTTTTCCCGTAGGAGTACTGTACGAGTAGAGGTCCTGGGGTGTTGAGGGCGGGTACAGTACATTTCTGGTGCTGTGGGTGGGTTGGGGGGCGTGCTTGGCTTCGATATTCCTTTGGACGACCGGAGTGAGGATCCGGAGGGGGGTTTTTTTGGGGGTTGTGTTTTTTGTTTTTTTTTTGCCCTTAGGTACTCGAGCAATTGTACTTTTTGAATTGCTTTTTGAGATGCACTTTTGTTGTGGGCGTGTGAGCATGGTTCTTGATGAAGATGGTATATAATCCATTGCACTGGACTCATGGGGGGGATTCAATCGTATTCATACCGAGTGATAGCGTAGTCAATGCTTTAACTTGAACAATTTGGTGACATAAATTTCCAATGTAAAGGAAAACAGTGAAGAATGAAAAGGTGACGGTACGAGTAGCAAGGAGAAATTGACGAAAAAAAAAAACAAAAAAACATCGTATCATATTCCCATCTTAATCCTAATATCCAATCCTTGCCCCTAAAGACGCCCTTTTCTAGCCCTACCGCATCTAAGCGACGATCGGTCCGTCGAATTGTACCCGCATAGCTACAGACCAGTCAGTATCGTAAAAGCTCGTGGGAAAATACAAAATTGAAACGTACTTGTCGGATAGGGAGTAAACTTGCTCCAATCGGCGTTCATGTAAAGCTTGATACCGCCTGGCTTTGAGATAAACTTCAGCTTCCCCTCATCCCCGGGAGCCCTCCTAAAGTTCCTCAGCTTCGCCAAGGTCTTCAGCATGTACGTATTCTGAATGATATTGATATCCTTGCCGAGGCATTGGTGCTGACCCTCTCCGTGCGTGACGTACAGCTCCGCCGGTCGGTCAAGTTTGATATCTAGTGGATCGGGGAAGACACTAGCATCCTTCGACGCGTAGACGAAGCTGACAAATACCTTGTCGCCCTTCTTGAGGACGACGTCTTGCCCTAGCTGCTTTATGGTTATCGTTTGGGTGTCAACGGGGTCGACTGTGCGGAAGATTCCGAGAGAATTGGATAGACGGGTTCCCTCCAGGGTGTACTTTGTTAGAAGCTTGTCAGCTTCCGGAGTGTTGAGGGACGATAGACGTTGGATTTCAGCCCAGTGCTTTCTATTGTCGTCTTGGAGGTAGAAATCGATCAATTGGGCGAACTATCCTGGTGTTAGCGTAGGCTCCTCGGAGCAAACGGAATGGGCGATACTTACAGCGCAAGCAGAGTTGGCAACAAAAGCGCACCCACTCCACAATAGCATCCATGCAACGTCTTCTGCGCTCTTTCCAGAGCCCAAAAGCCTTTTTACAAGGTTGGAACCATAATCCTTGAGAGATGGTGGGGGTGGCCTGACACCGGTACCTCCTGTGAGCTTGTCCCAAATGCCAATTGGGGTCTTGAACTTCTTGACTTCTTCAACCATGATTTCTCCGAGTTTATCGATACTCTTCTTCGCCTCGCGGCGGTGCTCCCAAGACTTTGTGGGATCCGAATCAGAGAAGACAAACCAAGTTAGATCTGTCAACGTCTTGTACAGTTCCTGCTCGGAGTACTGGCCATTTGGGTTCTCATCGGATTTCAATGGTAGGTAGAGTAGTGATGCAGCGAAGTGCAAGGCAGCCAAGTTTCCAATACTAGAAGAATTTAGCTTTCTTTCTTTTTCAAACCGGTGACAGGAGGGGTGCTAGTACTCTCTAACAATGTCAACCTGGTTAAATGGGTCTTTTCCAAGCTGGTAAACCTCCCGTTTCAAAAGTTTCAAAGTGATCTCCTCCGTATAATCTTTGAATTGCTTCCTTGACCCAGTGACGTCGTAAATCGCATCTCCTACCAGGTTCCTTTGCTGGGTATGTGAGCTCAAATCACCAGCAAGCATAAAGTCGTGCTCGTTATTCAATGCTTCCATCGCTTCTCCCCATGGAACTTTGAAGTTCTTTTGATCGTTCAAAACGCGCTTTAGACCGGCATGGGTAAGAATGGGGATCGGTGACGCTGTTTTTGCCGGCGGGTCAAACGAGTACAAGTAGGATTTCCCGAACTTATCGAATATCTTGCGGCTCTCTGTTGGTGTGTAGAATGGCTGCATGGCGTATACAGAGTTGTACTTGAAGTACGATGGGAAGGCATTCAGGATCAAGTGAAACATCTTGGCCCCCCCAAGGGTATCATAATCTTGTGCTACCTCTGTGATGCCCCAGTTTGTCAGATTGGCCGGAGTATAGTCCTAATTTTTGTAAGCCTCTATAAAGAACAATTCGTTCCTTCTTTCAATGACTTACTAAGGTTAAGTGTCGATCGCTACGGACCAACGTGACAGCGTCGGAAAAGACCGCACGGGTAACAGTATATGGGGCGCCTACCATTCGGTCAGCGGGTGATCTTCGAAAAGTAGATATCAGGTCCCTTACAAAGCCCCATTCCAGGGTCCATTCTGGGTTTTGTGTCTTCCAAAAACATTCCTGGATACATTTCCACCATATCAGGGTGGTCGTAGAGCTTCCTCAGTGTATTTGCAACATAAGGGTCGGGGTTGATGTCCTCGAAGGTTTTGTGCTTCTTCAAATTGAAGAATGCACGGAATTCATTTAACGAGGCAACCTGCCATTTCCGGGCCTGAAGGATTCCCAGAACCTCGACCGGCTTAAGGATTTCGGGAACAGTGTTTGCTCCAAAGGCACCTATTTTTTTTTTCACGTCAATCCCTTCCGTGCCACCCAACATCTCCTCGTGATCGCATAAACACACTTACCAGCTGGATCCTCAATACTTTCCTTGAGTATCTTGACAAGCTCGTCATCGTTGAAAGCACCGCTTCCATCAGCACCAGTTCTCTTTAGGCCGCCAAAAGTCCGCTTTGCCGGATCCTCTGAGATGCTTTTCTCGAAGACTATGAGCCCTTGCAACAACTGGGAGATTCCGATGCTAGCAGGGTCTTGCCCTGGGAATATTTTTCCGAAGAAGTCCTTAGTCCAGGCATCATCACGCTTGGAAACGGCGGAATGGAAACGGTAGAGAAGATTGAATTCGCAAGAGACTTGATTCCCAACACCTCTCGGGGTACCCTCGCCATCGAAAGACTTGTCAATCTCCACTCGAGGGTCAAGAGTCCACGTAGATTCGGAATGATTGAGATTTGCAATCCCGCGAATATAACTAAACAATGGGGGTACTATCAGCAATGAAACTTCTGCCCTCTAGTTGGGGGTTACGGTACTCATGCAAACTGATATTTACGTAGAGACCATTGGTGATCCTAATAGAGTTTTTAAGTCAGCGTCGCAGATCTATCGAAAAAATGTAGCCAAGCCTTGGCAGAAGTCTGCTTACAATCGTGCAGTTTGGAAAAGGTTATTATCCAGCTTCGCCAAGTTCTTGGCCTGATCCTCAGGACTGGCAGTAGCATGCGATGCGGGTAATGAAAAACGACCATTTTCATTAATCGCCTTTATTGTTTTTGCTGCGTAATTGTGGAAACGGGAGTACATGACCAAGAGGACGCAAATTCCCGGGGGAAGACCGAGAAGTCTTTTGTCTGAGAAGGTGTCTGGCTTGATCAAACCATCCTGCATTGTTCGGATTAGGTTTTGCTCTTCTTGGTTGCTACCATAAAGGGGTGCAAGATCAAGATATGAGGATGCGTCGCTCTTGGAGAAATCTTTGCGGTTCGTATGGAAAATATCTGATCTCTGTCAGTAAAAGAAAAGTTCACGGACTCCCGGGAACCGCTGTATACCATGGATAATGATCGAAGCATGGTAGAAGAGTACACTTGAGATTCCGGCTTGATTTTGTTTGAAATTGTCCCCACGAGCCATGAGCACTGTTGAAGGAGTCAATAAGAGTAATTGCCGTCCTGGATAGATGTACATACAGTCGAAGAGCAACCCAGCATCTGGTTTGGCTCCATAGAGTTTCTTGTCCTGGCGAATTGTTCGTGCATATTCCGTGCCTGCCTTCCCGAGATCGGGATACAAGATGTTCTGTGGATGCTCAGTATACTAATCCATTCATATGGTTTCTCAGGACAACTAACGTTGTAAGAGCCATCTGCTTGTCGGTACTGATACTTATCACCGACATAAGAAAGAGGGGGGTGCTGGAGGGAATCCCATAAGGTATCGATAATTGTGCTTGTGAGCTTCTTTCGGTTGGCCGAATTTTGAGGTAATGATGCCACAAGCCCGATAAGCCGTTCCATCTACCAATAAGCAATGCATCACGTCAACACTTCAAAAATATTCGGACCATCTCAGAAACACCCATGGTTTTGGGAGGAGGGGTATACTAACTACTAGCTGCTTATCATCAACTGGCCCTTTTGACACCTTCTGAGCACCCGTCTCGAGCAACAGTTTCAGGTCTTCCGGTATTTTTCCACCAGAGGCTTTGATATCCTCCGCAATACCGGTATAAGTGATTTCCTTGGTAGCCGCACTCTCGTCTCCATATTCAGAATTGGGGTTTGCAGAGGAACCACCCCCGAAAAGGCCGAGAAAACTCATTTTGAACTGCTCCAAAGGAAATAAAGTTATGGCAGAGGTGCTTCGGTATTTTGGGAAGACCGTGTGTGAAAGAACACAATTTGACTGTTTTCCGGAGGATATCTCGACCCTAATATGTACTCCCAACCTCTCCTGCTTGGATCCTGGGTAACAACAATCTTACCAAAAAAGGTCTTTGGCCAGTTCAACCATGAGATCAGCCGTCAGTCAGTAGACCGTTTTCAGCTCGATGAGCTTGCTTATTCTTTATTTCCTTTCTCCTCTTTTTTTGACCATTTTTTCTTTTTCAAATAGGAAACTAGCAGGAGTACAGTACGCCGTACAACATACAATTTAGCGCTACGGCCAACTTGCATCAAAGATTAATCATGACACGATAGGTAATAGTGACCCCTCACTTGCCATCGATGGCTCTGCCACCTCTGTAGTCACAGGTAACCACACAGGGGAAGATAAGTCGCCAGGGATAACATTTTCCTATCCAGTTAGACGAGAGATGGCTAGAGCTGAACTATTGCTGGTATAGGCATCTCATGCAGCTGCAAGGCAGTACGAGAAGATAGTCGTGACCGGATTGTTTCACGAGGGCTCGGAATCTCTTTCTTGCCGGTAAATTACATGGCTATATCCTAACTACTCTCAATGCAGTGGAGATCCAACAACAAGCGGCAATTGAGCCGGAGCTATTCAAGCAGGAAGACCCAAAGCTTTTTTTCCCCACAGTAGAGCGCACTCCCTTGCGGCACTTTGGCGATTGCCACCATGCCTCCTTCTTCCGAGGTCAATTTCAAACTCGAATGTGAGTGTTCCTGTAGGGAGATCCTTTTCATCGGGAGTTTTACTCCCTCTGAGCTTTGTAGAGAAATACACGACGCAGCAATGAGTACCCGTACCTCAGAGCGGTTACTTCTTGTGCTCACGAAACCAGAGTTGGGTAGTCACCAGCGGCCTCGGACGGAGGATGTCCCGGTTGGAAATTGGTGACAAATGATTGGCCATAAGTGGGCTCCCGGTTCTGGACTCCCCGGGCTGAGCTGCAGGTTTTCTTTAGCAAATGTAAGTTAGTCCAGATCGCCATCAGTGGCATATCATACTCGTAGGATATGGAAACTCTGGCAGGGCTACACCCGCAAAGCAAAACTCTAATGCACTTCCCAGAACCCAGACGCAACTGGAAATGCGAGGAAGGCCAATGGCCAGCTAATATCTTAACCGCCACTTGCCAAGTAATTCGACTTTGTGAAGATACCGGCATTGAGCGCTCTCCCGGCCATGTGCGCGAGCCACCCACGATAGGAGTTGAAGCGATGCAACTCGACTTCTTCAAGCCTTAGGTGTCCTCAGAAAGCCCATTCAAAACAGGGAACCTCTACCTCCAAGAACCTTTCTATGCCGCCGCCTATTACAAGAGCGCAGCAAGCTGCCAAGGTCTTTGTCAGCTTGGCTGAGATGTCGAAGATTTACGAAGGCTAAGCTCTCAACAATAAGATAGCCCTTCTCCTTTCTCAATCAAGAAATGGTGGACCGTTCAGTGATACTGGTAGTATCTCGTACTGTACTGTAGCCCTGCTACGGCTAAGACCACCCCCGCGCGCGCGCCGACCCGCACGCTTTATCCCAAAAGGGACCTTCGGTTGCATCGATAAGAGAGAAGGGCACAAGTAAATTCAATTCACAGAACTTACTAGTCTTGTGATATCTGACCCAAGTAGGCCTAGCGTGGAAAGCTGGATCTACAAGTACAACAACTTGGCTACCGGTAAGTCATATCTGGAGAGGTTCCGCAGGTGACCTGACCCTGCACGTCAGAACTTATGGGGAAACCATCGCCGTCTTTGTACTAGCACCGTTAGCAAAAATTCCATGACACCGGTTACATATCAAATCGCCGGTTGGTTACACCACTCCTACGCTACTCCTTCCTGTGGAGTTGAAGACCGGTAGTCTATCGTATCCTCTGAATCTTGGCCCGGATCATTATTCATTCGGCTCTCAATTGGAGGGGCAGGAAGCTTCATGCGCCACGAGAGAGAGATATCGAGTACTCGTACTCGAGTATACACCGCTACTGTACTACACCAATTGAGCCGCTCGCGGGAACTGACAAGTGGGGGAGCTGAAAGGAGGGGGGGGGGAAGAAGGGAAAAAGAAAAGCCCCAATATTGACCAATTGGCCGGCAATAATGGAACGGTTCCGGGGCACCCACTAAGGGTTAATTATCTTTCCGCTTTTTGGGATCCTGCAGCGCTCTCTCTACACAATGTAGGATATGCTGGTAATTGTACCGTACATGAAGAGCTGAAAGATTGTCTTTTGACCTGAAAAAGGTTTTTTCTTCTTCTTTGCTTTTTGGCATTTGCAACTCGGGTATGCCAGTCGGTCACGGGCAACAAACGATGGTATGGCAAGCTGATAGAGAACTCCTCTGTTCGGAAGTCTATCCTTCCGAGGATTGACTGGCTGGTTTTTTGACATTCCATGAACTTTTCCAGTGAGGGGGGTTCTTCCAATTGGGAACCCGTAATGTGAATTCTTTTATTAGCATCCTCGCCGGATCTTTAGCACTTCTACCTCCTCCTCCATAGCCTTTTCCGAACTTTTGATATTCTGGTTTTTTCGGGGGGAAAAATTACTTCGACCTTTTAGAACCATATCCTAGCCTCAAATCATAACTTCGAACCATGGCAACCGAACAACAGACCGCGAACGGCAGCGCCAGTGTCCCTGCTGCTGCTGAAGCAGAAATCCCCAGCTCCTCTAAGGGGAGATCCTCCACTAAGGATGCTGCACCCAAGAAGCCAAAAGTTTCGCGTCTTGTTCTCTGCTTCGATGGTACGGGAAACAAGTTCACGGGTGATACTTCAGACACCAATATTGTGAAGATATATCAGCTACTCGACAGAGGTACAAAAGGGCAATTCCACTACTACCAACGTAAGTTCCTCCCCTCCCCGCCCACGAAAAGTAACCCTTCGAAGAGCAAAACCCATCTAACCCATCAAAAGCTGGTATCGGAACCTATGTTACGGGAACAAGCAGCTTTACCCCGAAACTGTGGAGCAGGTTTACAAACTACATCACGCAAACACTGGACGAAGCTCTAGGAACCTCCTTCGCGGACCATGTAGTCTCAGGCTACAAGTTCATAATGCGCTACTACACCCCGGGCGACGATATCTACATCCTCGGCTTCTCGCGGGGCGCCTACACAGCGCGCTTCCTGGCCCAGATGGTGCAAACCATTGGCCTCCTGTCCAGGGGTAACGAAGAAATGATTAACTTTGCTTGGGATACATACGCAAAATACGAGCAGCGGGGAACGGACACGGATCACAAAGCGGAAGCCTTCATGGAGATATTCCGTGACACATTCTGCCGGAAAGATGTGACCATCCGCTTCTTGGGACTCTTCGACTCCGTGAACTCAGTCGGCAGCTTCGAGATTCCCGGAATGCGTCGCAGCTTCGACAACATCTCCATCCCGCCGGCGATTCACGTACGGCACGCCGTCTCCATCGACGAGCGGCGGGCAAAGTTTAAACCGGCGCTCTTCGATGATAGGCGCGGGCACGACATCAAGGAGGTCTGGTTCCCAGGGAACCACGGCGATGTCGGCGGCGGGTGGGTGCCGGGCAGCGACGGACACCTGCTCAGCGACATACCCCTCGCCTGGATGATAAACGAGATGAAGAACCTTCCGGACGTGGAAAAGCCCCTCGTCTGGCTGGAAGGGGCAGGGAACATCCCCCACCACGATCCGGTGCAGAGTCCGCACGTCGCGCGAACAGCCGTATTGGGGAAGATACACGACGCGCTGGGGTTCGCAAAGGGGTTTAGCCTTGGCAATGTTTTTGGCTGGTGGCTTATAGGTGCCCCTCCCCTCCCCCCCACCCCGGTCATACAGTGTTACCATATTAACTTGTGTGCGATAAATAGAATGGATACCCATTTTCTCCCGCCGCGAACTCGAAGACGACAAGTGGGTCTCTCGCCGCGTCCCACCCAACGGCGGCGAGCCGAGGGACCTGCCCTCCGGCGCGCTGATACACCCCACCGCGCACGTGCGTGAACTTGAGGACCCAAACTACCGTCCCAAGAACACCAACTACAGGTCCGCCATCAGTCCCGGACAACCAGCCTCCCGCAAGAAGGAGAGTAGCTGGCGGACCTGGCAGAATGAGCTTGTCGGGAAGAAGTGGCATATTGCGGATGTGCACGAAACGGAGCCGTTATTGAATGGGAGCGGGAATAGTGCCGCCGTCTAACTTGGGCAAGTTTTTGGCGGGGAGTGGGCGGGGGGCAGGGATGGATGTGGGGAGGATTTAATTTCATCACTTCGTTTATTAGCCGTAGGATGATGATTTGTTGAAACAAGAGATCACAAACAATCACTCGCTATAGCAATTAAATCTATTTCTCTTCATTCATCCCCTCAAGCGATTGACCTTCAAAACCCGAGACTCCCCAGTGACCACCTATGGTAATTAACCAACCCCAAGCACATATCACCAAAAACACCAGGAAAACCATGCACCCACACGGAAGGATGGTATTTAATTCCGTGTCCGTAGGCATCCCACAGGTAACCAGCAAAGGAGCAAAGTACCATACCCAAAACTTAGACTCCGGGATTAGCACAGCCACCCCGACACGCCCAAGCAATTAACCGTATGTCTTTCCAACCCTTATGTTGGGCTAGTTCTCGACTACTACCTGTACGGCACAGGACCCATACACGGGTACATCCATCCATAGATGCATACATACATCCCCCCTCCCGCGCGGCCACAACCATATCCACCGATCGGCACTTGAGTCCGTGCAGTGGACGAGAGACGGTAGAGTAGTGTGCCAAAAAAATATTAGCGGTATGAGACGTCAAATTTGGTAAGGATGTTCGCTACCCCCCCAACATCCGCTCACCCCTTGTCCTCTCTACTATGCTACTCGAGCACCCCATCTCTGAGACATCCCGCAATCCCATGGCAGCAGAACAAACTATGACGATGGGGTACGCTGCTTTAGCACAGGGTGCAGAACCCACTCCAGTCCTGGGCGGGTAAATGTTTAATCTGGCCGGGTTCAGGGAGAATAACGACCAACGGGCGAATCATGACGTGGTAGATTACAATCAACCATGTTCCTTGATACATTATGCGCACGGCACTTTAATGTGCAGTGCCATCCAATGGAGGGGTGGTTAGTTAATCTTCTCTGATTACAAGATCGTAAATCTTGTGCAACCTACCGTACAAGTACCGTAGTCAGTACGAGTACATAGATTTCCCACATCCCTGTTTGTTATACTTGAATAAGGAGGGTGTCCTTCTTGCGCACTGGAGGGGAAAAGAAAACAGTGTATACTCGGGCACAGTACTCGAGTAGGCTCCGTTCGGCACCCCACAAAAAAACGGGCGTTTTTCAATCTTCCGGGGCACTTCTGCTGCAGATAAGACATTTGATACAAGTATTGTGCACTATCCGAGTATGGCTTGTTTCCCACTCTTTGAGTCAAGGCGTTTAAATGTTGCGGGAGAAAAATGAAACATAATTTTCAAGAAGAACGGCAGTCTTTTTTATACACTACCGAACAGGGTCTAAATAAATATCAGTATAAATAAAAAATGGGGGTGTGAGAAGGAGGGAAGGAGGGGAATCCTGGAGTTGATCTGCCGTCCACAAGGACAGGGATGAATGAGATAAGGTATCGCCAATGCGCTCAATAGCAGGAAAAGGTTTTCGAATACATCTCGTGACTAGATACCAGTCTTGTAGGACTTGATCCAAACAAGGCATTGTTGCAGTGCTCTTTTGCTTTCTTTCTTTCTTTTTCCTTTCGGGAGGGAGGGGGGGAGGGCGGCAGTGCAGACACATGCTGAGGGGATCATTGTGGGGCTGTAACATGTGAGATCAGTGCGGTGTTCGATGATGAAAGGGATCTATGGGAGGAGGAGGGGCAGGATGGCGATTGGAGGTTGGGATAGTAACTTAGGTTCTTACCCCCCAACTTTTCCAAGGTTTTCTCGGCCTATCACGGATACGGTCAATAATGGGGGTCTGGAAGCTTTGGGCCAGTTGTTACCTTTGCGAATTGACCAATCGGATATTTTGGCTAGGAAGGTTCGAATGACCGAACATTGTCTGCGTACAGTATTGGGAGCGTTGCGCAGAGACTCTGGATGTGAGGCAAATGTGGTTCTTGACCAACCAGATTCCTATAATAGGATTTGGCTCCGGGTGCGGGGTCGCAAAGTCCATATTTCTAGGACCCTACTTCCTCACCGGGGTGATATCCTCACCTAGAGATAGAGGAGTGCATACACGAAATTCAGCACGAGAGACGGTATGAAAATAACCCAAAACAGCAGATGCAAATGTGGAGTCTGTTTACCTTAAATTTCCGAGATGGGGAATCTAAAATCTCTGCCTTCCCATCCCACTAAAATGAATATCTGGATCTGCAAATCGGCGATCCTGAATTCCCACAACCGCAGCTTTCCACCCATTAGCACTTGGCCCACCTTGATGTAGAGATGTTTTGGGTTACCCTTCTTGTTACAGACAGACAACCAGCAGGTACTGCTTAAACGCATTTTCCTTAGCTCATTTTCCCAATTCAATCAGTCATTGAAAACTTTTCACTCAAAATGTCCACACGGGAAGAAGCAGAAGTGCCCACGGTTCAGGGCCTTGGCTTAGAGTTGCCCCGCGGGGGAGGAGTCCTATCTCAAAGCAAATGTTAGGAGCTATCTGGAAAGACTCGCTGGATCCCCCCCCCCATGAATCCGTCCTTATCCGAAATTTAATCGAAGATGGAACTCTCGGACAAGATCTTACCCAGTGTGCATTCCCAACTCCGATCCCTACTCGCTTATAGTGGACAAATGCACTAAACCGAAGATGCTAGGCAGTCTCCACCCGCATTGCCACACCATTAAAAATCGCAACCGACATCTATACTCTAATAGTAGCGAGTACCGCACAGTAGGTGGCAAGGATGGCATGTAGGGTATTCCGATACTCTGCCGATTGCCTCCGCTTGCCTACCGGTACTCTAGATCACAAGATGGCACAAAAACAGCTATCCCTAACGCGCCATTCAGCCTTTTCCTTTTCCCATTTGGCAGAACTACCGTATTTGAAGAACGCAGGCAAATCGCTCAGGACTCATAACGGATCAAAGCATGAATAGGGTTTTGTGCTACCAGTTAGATGAAAAAGGAGAGTTGAACTGAGCAACTGGGTCAATGGTTGGTGGAAGTTGAGGGTTGTGACCAATGTGAGCTACTCGTAGCTTACGGTGATGTACTAGTACTGTTATACAGAGGCTCGGCCTACTGCGGCGATAAACGTCATAATGCCGGTACAGTGCGGTAGTGATGCATTGGAACTCTCAATCCTGTATGCGGGCATATCATTACAAGTGGGATCGGGGGCCTGCTCCTGCCGTGTTGCCTGCGGTCCTGGTTTTTCGATCTAGATACCTGTACTAGTACAGTAGCAAATACCTCCATGGCTGCGGCTATACCCGGTTAAGGGTATATTGAGACTCTGAAGTCAGTCCTTTCATTCGTGCTGGGGTTTCTCGAGACCACGGCCTGGGGAGTTTGGCCAGAGCTTGGTTTCGCCCACCGAGCTTGACCGACGAATGCCGGTTGTCGATTTGAGCCCAGTTGAGACCCCCAGAGCTGACCAAAAAGATATAACTAAAGAAAGAAGAGACAGCTGGTTCTTCCAATGAGGGAGGGGGTGGGAAAACCAACAACAAGTATGGGATAGGGAGGCTAACGAAACCTTTGCCGTCTAGAACCCACCCTACCCTTCCCTCACCATTGGAATCGTCGTCGCTCCCCATCATCGCCAACTCTCCCAAAGCCCCTGGGAACGTTTGCTCATCCAACATGATAAAGATCTCCAGGATGAGAAATAGCTTGGGTGTATTTCGCTAGCCAGAGAACTCTAAGAACCTCCGAGTTCTGAAGTTTGGCTAGTTTGACCGGTCAAGCTATGCTTAACCTCGAGTGCCCTTTCTACCTTCAGTTTGCTAATCTGAGCTCAAAAATAGGTTCTGAGCCCTTCAGACCCGCCGCTGGGAGTATAGTATAGTGCAGTACCGAAGCCAGTGCTGGGGAGGGGAGGTAAACATATGGGGTAGTTCCCCCATCTCAACTTTCATCCCGAGTCCTCAAATAATTGACAACTATATCAATTGGCCTCCTGTAGACGGTTGGAGTAGTATTCTGAGCCGGTGTATTGGAAATTTTTGCCACGCTGTTGATGCTCCATTGCACTAATTTACCTCTAGATATGACAAGGCCACAGCCAATATCTACAGTATCAATCGGAGATCTAGTCCCCCCTTTTTGTTACGCAAATCCTCAACAACTCATTCGGGTATGGATGCTCTTGTCGCGGCGGTGCTCGATGGTCCGTCGCGGTTTATCGGAGGCGCAAATCTACGATGGAACTGAGGATAGTAAGTTTGTCCCTTCTTACCCACCGTACTACAAATAGTTTCTACAACTCGAAAACCGATTAATGGATTTACGTTGGTAACCTCCGGCATCGACCTCGGGGTTCCAATAAGTTCCGTTGCCGGACAAGAGGGGAGATGAGCCAGCGGACCGCAGCAGAAGTCGAGATAAACTTTGACAATGGTAAGAACCATGCCTGGTTGACGTCATAAGTCTTAGGTATCGACAATGCAATACGATACTCTAATATCAGCTGCCGATCACGGACAATATGATTACCTGACTCAGTGGAAGGTCGGAATCGGCTTCAACACCATAAACACAAAAATCTCACGATCCTACTCGGCACACTAAACTTGGAGTTTTATAGATTAAGTGTGCTAGGCTGTCCCTCGTGGGGTAAAACGCCGGCCCACATCCTACTTGCATAGTACCGGTATCACACAAACACACCGGTATCATTCTGCGTGAAACCTATTGTTGAAAGGCACAAGACCCGCAAGTTAGGCAAGCGAACATGTCGAGTGCTTGAGCACTTACCATTTTCAAAAAGTATCCGGAAATTTGGACTTTGATCGGCGTTCATTGGTCCCATCATTCAATAGGAAGAATCTATGAGACGACTAAGGATACTGTGAGAGGTTTTGGTTCTTATTTCTTACTCGCTCTCTGCTCGAGACGGGCACTACACGGTAAATAGACTAATACAGGAAAGTCTCAGTGTTGCCAAGCCAAGGTACAGTACGGTATCACAGCGAGGAATACAATTTGAAAGCTGGTTTCATTGGCTTGAGATTGGGTATGCTTAGAAGTTTTGTTTCAAACATGAATTGTATTTGGGTGTCTATGATTCCCAGTCACGAATCCTTCCTGGGTGCAATACCCGTAGTCGTACTGTTCGAGTACAATTACAGTACCCTAAACCTAGCGTGCAACGAGAAAAACTACGCGGCCGACTCCTTAGAAATGGCGTTTGGACATCTTCGTAAAAGCTCCCCTTGTAGACAATTAAAAGCCATTCTTCCTCTTCGTTTAGCTACGAATTGTACTCCCCCCTCTATATCAATCATGCTTTGGGAAATAAACAACCTTTAGCAAAATAATAGGTGATAGAACAGTTGCATGTCACCATACTTGGACAGAGGAAACAGACAAGCGGGTACAAGTACAGTACAATGGCTCCCTACAGGCGCTAGACTATCATAGTGCTATTATCTTAACGTCCGAGGTGCAACAACCCCCATGGCCAATCTATGTTTTTCTCGCGCTTTGAAACAAGGTGTTTGATTTCTTTTTCTTCTATCTTTTATAATTCATATACGAACCCTAGCGCTCAACAGCTTTAATTCGGTCCCAAAACTATTTTCACAGCCTTAAATCCGATAACGGTTCTTCATCTTGATTGGGCGTTGTGTTGTTTGTGATATCATTGTTGTTAAATTATGGACTGTCTGGATAGCGAACGAAGGAGCAAGCATCGTATCATACGGTACTGTACTAGTACCAAAACCAGTGTTCTGGGAAGCGCTCGTCATCCACCAGTACCGAAAATCCAACCAGTTATTCTACTGCAGTCTAGAAATCGTGCAGATGCGGTTGTTAAACAATCAGAACCCCGCAATGCGGTGATTATTTAACACAGTACTAGTACAGTTTGAAAGACCAGCAGCTAGTGTGCTTGTACCGTACAGTACCCGCACATCGTCCTTGCCAGGAGGGCCACCGCCAATCGGTGATTTGCTGGATATCTTGATGAGGACTCTAGCATAATTATGAACTTTGTCCTTAATATAAAACTGATAGCGAGCGGTGCAAGTTCTTGTAGAGCTCCACTGTACGAGTACTGTAAAGATCTACAAGGGTAAAAATGAACTTGGTTCTGTAATTAGTCATGATCTCGCTATTGTCGCAATGCCATCACACATCGGAAGACGAAATTCGTTAGTATTTGCTAGCGCTCCACTCACCCGGCACGAAACTCCAAAGACTGAGCACGAGCAATATACTGTAATAATCGAAGCCGAGCACCATAGTCTATCACGAGATGGAAGCTCAAACAAGCTTCTTTTCTAGCGAGAACTTGTCAAGGATGGAGATGCTTTTTTCCTCAGCTGCGTGGCAGTGTTTATGTCTTGGCGCAGGCGTGACTCATAATCATCGCAACCCCTTAATTCGACAATGCCACGAAGTCGAGTTCTTGAAAAGTGCTTTTCGCGTGATCGTGTGAACAACGCGTTGCTCCGCCTCAATTCTATTTTCAAGCTTGATCTTTGGCGCGATGGTTATAATGACTTCCTCCCCGCGCTCTCTTTGCGGTACCTTCGACATCGGGTTCAGTGATTAGGAACTCGCGATTACCACAAAATGACTCTCCATTTGCTCTCACTCCCGGCGGAAACGCTAGACTCAGTAACGACTTATCTTCCCCATCCCGTCGATGCGCTGAACCTGTCCATGACCTGCCGTTATTTCAATCAGCATCTGAGCACGCAACATAACAACAGGTTCTGGTACACAATGCTCGCCAACAGTGAGGTGGCGCATACATATTTACCTCGCCCGTATCCAACCGGTAGTTCACAACCGGAGTATGATCCTACCCAGGATTACAAATCCTGTATTTTGCGGGTCTTGAAGTCGAACGGGTGTCAGTTTTGTTTAAAATCTATGGTGTCCTCCAGCAGTTCATCAAACGGGGACTGGCGTGCGTGCCGAGTGCATGGACTCAAAATCTGCATGGGGTGCTTAAAGAAGCACAATACCAGTAAGACATTCTCGCCTCCTCCTCCCCAACTTTGATCGAACCATACTAACGAAAACTCCAACAGCCATAACCAGATTCCAAGGCCTAGGCCTAGACATCACCACTAACCCGCCCAGATCCAGCGTCACAGAAATCTACTACCCAAGGCTCGGGCGCAAGATCCTCATGACCTACTACTGGAGATTCGACATCGAATCGCTCTGCATCGCCCAGTTCGGAGTGGGCCTGGAGCACCTGAAACGACGGAAGGAGGAGGAAAAGCTAGCCAAGGCAGCCTACAAAAAGGCAAACCCGAGCCCACTTCGGAAGCTCCGCAATCAAGCCAAGTCTAGTCTCGCCGAGGCCGCGTGGACCATCTGGAACGGGGAGGAGTACAGGTACCCCCGCGAGCGCTGGGCCAAGGACGTGACGAAGGAGCAGCTCCTTGCCTGGCTGTTCCTGCGACAGGAAGACGATGAGCCGCAGAATGCCAACATCACCGGGACCCTTGACCGCTACCTCAAGACCATCCGCAGCAAGGCTACTTTCGCCGATAAGGACCAGGTGTGGTACGACTCTGTTGCCCGGGAATTACTAGAAGGGCTGAAGGATCGGTATTCTGCCGAGGACGGGTATCGCAGGCTTGCATTTTCTTGGCATGTGGAGAGGATTATCGATATCTACGAAAACCTTCCGTTTGATGATAGGCCGACCTTGTATCATTGCTGGTATGAGCACCCCGACGGAGAATTGGTCTCCCGCCAAGAGTTGCGGGATTTGGTGTTGCATATGGAAGTGGAGCATCCGGTATTCTATTGGTCTTCTGATGAGTGGGGTGGGTTGCTCCCAGCTTAGCCTTGGGATCGAGTTACGGCTTTTTTTTTTGTAAGGGGAGGAGGTTTATATATATATATCATGAGGCTCACGAACATATCACTTTCCAATTATTATTTTTCTTTTCCTTCTCCTGAGAACAATTCTTATGCCCCTTTTTCGCTTCCTTGATTGTCCCCCTTTATCACTCGATCCCTTGAGATTGTGTACACAAGTATGATATCTGTCTTACAAGTTAGTTGGTTGAGATCGATTTATTCAAGCATTATAGTGCAGTCTTACCTGAAACTCCATCCCAAGATTTTCTCCACTTCCATGCCAAATCAATGTTCCGAACCGTCCGGGGGCCTGCCTAGGAACGTTGTAGCGGCAGCGGCTATGTGGGTCAGAAGGTGGTGGAAGACTGCCCGCAGAGAGAACAACTGACTCGGTAGAGCGGACTCTGGGGTATATCATAGGACTATAGGGGAGTGAATGACGATAAGGGATGGTACTGGACTGGAGGGGTTATGTACGACACTAGGGGACGGTGAGGTATGAGATGGAGATTTGCGAGTGATCACTAGTGATCACCCATATTAGACCTTGGAGCGCTTGATCTTTCCTATCGTTGCAATGCTACCCCAGGGCACCCTCGTATACGATGGAAGACGGACTACAGCTGGCGGTTCTTGCGGTCCCGCCTCGAGACGGGCGGACTGGACCGCCCTGAACATTCTGCCAAATCCCTTCCGGGGGGGGGGGCGAGGAAACCGCACGCATATCTTATCCCACCAACTAGCCAAGGAAATTGAAAACCATCAAGGTGGCCAAATACCTCCCTTTAGGTTTTACAATCTTTGACGCCCGCCCAGGGCGGCAGACCCGATCGCCGGGGGCCGGTGACGATATGGAGGGATCGACCCGGACGAGAATAGAACGAAGCGTGCCCATCCCGCGCCCTAGAGGTTCTGCCGTGCAGGGATGAGTGGCAAAGATGCACCCAACCGAGCTAACCTCAGTCCCGATTCAGCAGAGCGGGATGAACCAACGGACCTTCACCTGTTGCTGGAGGGCTGACATTCACACCGGGCTGAGTTGCCAGGATAATTTCTACCCCGGCACGCGAGTAACGGGAGAGGACATACGAGTACTGTGGGAAGCCTCGAGGTCTATAGCGGGAACTCGAATGAATGGATCATGTGCTAGGTGGTCCGAGATTTTCTTCTCCCCTGGACAGGGAGCGAAAAACGCACAAGGGAAGCTGCTTTCCGAGATAGATAAAGAAAGGAAAAGAAGGCCGCAGGCTTTGCTAAGAGGCAACTCTAACGCCTTAGCACGAGGTCCATTTATTCGAGTTCCTGCAGCACTACGATCCGGTCGAGAATTCGAACCAAGATTGTCGGGATGTCACGAACCGTCAGGGGGTTTTGTATGACGAATAAGGTACGAGTACTAAGGGGAACCGGCTGTTACGTCTCACAGGGCTACAACCACTCCTAGAGCACTGTCCAATGCCGTTCAGCCTTTTACGAAGCGGTTTTGATAGGATCCGGTGGTTGGCATTTCCGATGCTCAACACCACACCCCTCTCCCCCAACGATATTATATCTCCCGCATCCCCGACACCCCCCAAAAACCGACGGATCTGACAAAGAAATGATGTTTATACTTTTGGCTGCCCGGCCCTTCCTTGTTTTTTCATTATCAACCCGATCTCTCCGATTCTTCTTCGCTGTTCATAACTCAGGTATATGAGGAATTCTAACGGAAATCAGTGCTAGAATACCTTCTGGGGGCTAGAAGGTTCGCCATGTACACGTACGGTTGCTCCGCCTCCCGCCGTGGCAATAGTTACAAAACTATATCTTTTTCCTTCTTTCTTTCTTTTCTTTTTCTAAAAAAAAATAAAGGTAAAGATAGTAGGGTTTTGGAAAGTGGTCCACGGCTTCCCGAACACCATCAAGGTTTTTCTTCGGTAGTTGTCTGCCGTCTTTGCTAAGTATAGCGCAAGATGGAAAAGAAAAAGAAGTATGGCAGCCCACCAACCAACCTAATATATTATACCAGATGATAAATAGGTTATGACGAAACTACTACCACTGAATTTATAACAGCAATCCGGTCCATTCGGGGCGCTAGCTGGTTAACTAGAGTCAATTAATACCTGTCGATACCCCCCGTTGCTGGAGGACTCTGAAGAGCGCGAAAGAGGCACTCCCATGTGCCGTAGTGCATAACACTACATACTTGGGAAACGGAAAAAACAGCATATCTGGGGCAGCATACCGTTCGGAACAGAGCGCTTCTCGCGACAAAGAAAGCGATTCTGAAAATCTAAAGAAGCACGAATCAGCAGGAGTGAGCGCCGTGGCGCCAATGGGTACGGGGCTCTAATTCAGCCGGCAGTGGAAGAGCACACGCACTACGGGTAAGTAAAGTATACGGACTGATGATAGGTAGGTAAGGCTACATTAAACGAGTGATAATTTATGCTTCATCCACGATTTTGGGACTGTTCAATGCCACTGCTGCCGTACAGTACTATATCTGTTATGGTACCCGTGGAACGGGACTTGATTTCATGGTCAAGATATCCCTTGTTGTGTTGGCCTGCCTCGATGAGCAAGCCTAGAAAGTGTAGGGCCTCGCAACTTCACCTCTAAGCTCAGGCTTGGAGGGCAATGGCAGGTAAACATGATTTCTATTAAGCCCTCTCCGGCGTGGAAGCCACTCGCTAATACAGTAACCGGAGGTAGCAGCCAGCCTTTCTACGTTACTTTTCACGTGTTAGAAACACTTGCACTAAGTCTTCATATTTTCTTTTCTCTAAATTTGTATCTAAACAATCCCCACATCTACGCTTCAGTCCGGGGGAAAGGAATCAACATATAGACGAACGGTAAATGTGAAAAGAAGATCTACAACCGGAGAAAAACAAGGTAAATGATGGAAATTTCGGGCCGCGCCGGCTTATCTTATTACAATGGAAACAAGCCCTACGCGAACACTAAACCCCAGATCATAAGCGGAAACTCGCAAATACTCGGCAGGAAAATCCGATTAAAGGTCGGGGTGGGTAGAGTATTGTGATGGATGTGTGCATTTCCATTGCATATTATTTCCTTCGACCAAAAGAGGATGTTTAGAGGGTTTGCCCTGGAAGCAAAGGGAAGACGGCAATTACAGCATTTTGAACTGTGGGAGGAGGAGGGATAGGGACGAGAGGAGGGAGGCAATGGCGGCCTTAGACGTATGTATGGAGCCGTTGCGGTCCTTGCGTAAATAGAACGTAGGTGATCCGTATTCCAAAGATGTAAGGAGGGCGATACCTCTCGGTATTAGGTTGTGTGGGGATGATAGATTCTGGGTGCTGTGTTGGTAGTAACGCTATCACTCGCGCATGTCCACCCGTAGAAGCTCACCGGAGTGGGGTTTGGCCGTAGTTATCTGGTCGGTTGGGGTTGGCGTCGTCTCGTCCGAGCAGTATTTTCACCATTCCCTCGCGCCCATTCTTGGCAGCACCAGAGATGGTGAACCGACTGTCCTCATCTAGTTTTTCGAGGTTAATCCGAGTAGTAATTTCACCACTCCCTCGTGCCCATTCCAAACAGCATGCGAGAGTGGCGTTTGGCCGTTCTCATCTGGTGTGTCGGGGTTAACGTCATCCCGTCCGAGTAGTATTTTCACCACTCCCTCGTGCCCACTCTGAGCAGTATGCGAAAGGGGTGTTTGACAGTGCTCATCCGGTTTGTCGGGGTTAACGTCGTCCCGTCCTAACAGTATTTTCACGGTTCCTCCGTGTCCATTCCGAGCAGCATGCGAGAGGGGCGTTCGGCCGTCCTCATCTGGTTTGTCGGGGTTGACCTCGCCCCGTCCTAGCAGTATTTCCACCACTTCCTCATGCCCGTTCCGAGAAGCACAGCAGAGCGGTGTTTGGCCGCAACTATCTGGTCTGTCGGGGTCGAGGTCGCTCTGTTCCAGCAGCCATTTCACCACTCCCGCGTGCCCATTCCGAGAAGCACACCAGAGTGGTGTTTGGCGGTACTTCGCTAGTCTGTCTGGGTTGACGTCGTCCCGGCCGAGCAGTCTTTTCACAACTCCCTCGTGTCCATTCTGAGCAGCACACCAGAGTGGCGTTTGGTGGCACATGTTTGGTTTGTCGGGATTGACGTCGTCCCGTCCGAGTAGTATTTCCACTACTCCCTCGTGTCCGTTGTGAGCAGCCCACGCGAGAGGTGTATTACCCGTGCAATCTTTCTGGTTGATATCATAACCTTCCACCTCAACCAAATCGACTACAATCTCTACGATCCCGAAGATGGACGCAGAGTGTAGGCCGCTGAACAAGGAGGGTTTATTGAAATCAACTGCGTCCAGATTACATTTCTGTGCTTTCAAGAGGATCTTAGTAGATATGTGGTTATTGTAGTCCTCAAACAGCTCCAGGGCAAGCAATTTGGCACAACCCGAAAGGTCTCGTTTTGCGTGAGTTCCCCAATATAGAGAAGAATACTCTAAGAAGGGCATGTCTTGGAGGGAGGGGGAGGAGGGACTAGTCGAGAGAGTCATGACTTTCTGAGAATTCAGATAACTTAAGCAGGTTTCTGCCATTGTTGAGTGAGCTATGGCGGAAATCTCGGGATGAGCCCGGAGGTACTCTTGCAGAGTAAAGTGGATTAAGCGGACAGTCGAAGCCTCTCCGTCTATGGTAACAAGTCCTTGACAACAGACAAGCAACGTCTCTGTTGAAGGGACATTATCGGTATTAAGATCCGGTGACCCTATTTCGACCGCAAGGGCGTGGCATAGTTCATCCGCCTTCAAGGGCCGCTCTGCGTGAGATATCCACATCAAAGTGGTCATGCCAAGTCTCGCTTTCTCACCACCCTGTCCCCTTATCCGATCCAGCATTGCATCGTAAGCATCTCCCAATCCCGAGCCATTGGCTATTGTGCTGAGCTTTCGTCGCCTGCGATGAATTGTAGTTTCCTGCAGGATCGCATCGATATTCAGCGAGGCGAGTAGGAATCTAAATATGTATCGGTTAGTGGATAATTTGAGGCAGGTTTCCTAGTGTTGTTGCTTTGACGTACATTTCAGAAATATTTTCAGGAATTTCCTTCAGGATGTCTGCCTTCAAACTACTGTCCATCGCACCTGGGTTTGTATCCCAGTTTAGCCTGGCGTCAAGATATCTGGTAATGTCACCTATCTTAGGACCTATAGATACGCTAGCTATTTTTCCACCAAGGCGCCTTCCGAGTTCAGGCCGAATGTGCGGTCTTCCGGTCATGAATACCCGCGTACCAGGAGACTTTTGGAGGATTTGATCTAGCGAATCCAGAAGCTTGACTCGATCTCCTCCCACACATTCATCCAGGGCGTCGATGCATATGAACGTGTGCTTTTTGGAAGTGACAGTCTGCAGCATCTTCACAATCTCGGAGTGTCGCGGTCCCCGTCCACCGAGGGCACTTTTTTGGTCTCGGAATGCTTGCAATATCTCCTTCGGGATCTCCTCTACCGGTAGTCCAGCAACTAGCTGTTTCAGTAGGGCGCCCAGTATGCTCGCAGAGGACTGCTCCTTTTGCATAGCGAAGCGACAATAAAAGCATGCAACGTTGGTATTTTGTTCCCAAATACGATCGCACAAGCTGTCCGTAGCCAATGAGCTAGCATTGCAGGGCGTCAGTTCTTGTTCTTTCTTCTCCCATTCCTCGAGGTTCGTTATTTTTATTACCTAATATATGTCTTTCCAACACCAGGACCTCCGTGGCAAAACAAAACTGCATTATCCGATTCACTTCGCCCACCATTGTTGCACCAACTCCTAAATTCTTCGGTTTCTAGGACCCATTCCCCCACACCCCCGACCCGGCGGTTTTGGATATCCTGGTGCCGGAACTTGGGATCTAGTGGGGATAGCCAGCCGAGGATATCATATCGGCTGTCTGCAGATATGTAGCTGTCCGTGGTGCCCGCGTTCGCGGAACCGATACTACCGGTATTGCTGAACCATGTAGACATTTTCTGTTTTTACTGCGTAGGGTATTGTAGATGGTGGATAATGGAACCTGTCGACCGTTGGGGTTCCTGGGGATTGAAGGAAAGCGGGGTCTTATGTAGAACCTCATGGATACCTCATGGCCGTCCAATTAATCACCCTCAAAGTTGTGCCAGCAACGCCCTGCCTGTGTCTATCTTGGGGCCTAATAATTTCAGGTATGATATACCGGAAATAGGAAATGATCTTCCATAGGAATGCATTATCGAGTACTCGTAGCTCGTCAATTCACCATTTTTGCGCATTGAAAAAGGGGGTCCGGGATGCTGATTCAATGCCGGTTGACCAACCCTTGGCCTGCACTGTACTGTACAAGTACGAGTACTGTACTGTACCGGCTTGGGGCGCTTTTAGCGCGGCAGTAAGAAAGGCCGTCCGGCTAGTTAGTTCGAATGTCGCTTGTTAGTCTAAACGAATAGGTTCATTCGCAGATGGTTGACCCAGCTGATTACTGAATTCGGGCTTCGGCAAGTTAAGGATGAGCCACCCCCGCAACCTCCTGGGGTCCTAACTTTCCAAATCTATTGGGGGGTGTAGTTTTGCGGGTAAAAATATGCCTAGACCGTTTCTGAATCGCTTATAGACTACTGAGGGAAGCACTCAATTGTAAACTGATTTCCATTGCTATTAATACTCACACTTCGGCAGTTCTCACAGGTTACTGCTCGGATATATGGCTAGGGCAATGTCGCATGGGAGGGACATCCGCGTTCTTTGGTTCCGGACATATGCGGGATCGTAGAAACGAAGAGTAAGGTGAACGGAAAAAGGGGGGACCAAGGCTTGTTTAGGCTGCATAGTTCACGTCTTGGTCAGTTCCTCCGCATCCTACTTGTATTCTCATTTCGAATAATTACTCGCACGGGGCCATCTCTAGAACTTGTTATTCTATCCGAATCGACTGAAAAGTGGCTGCAAGTAAAGTGGATGAGGCGGGCTGATAATGGGAGAGTCTTGGCAGAACTCAAATACTATTAGTGAATGCGGGTAGAGTACGAGTACTGTACTGTCTGAGCATTCCACCGGGTCGGCGTTCCTTTGTAGGAAATAGCGATAGTTAAATCTGATCTTCGTGGATACCGTCAGACCCTCTGTACAGTACTTTGGGTGGTAACTACGGTTTCTCTCGTGATTGTCGATGAGTAGATTGATGGAGTCAAAACCTGAGGGAAAGATGTGTTGGACCTTCGTGATCTTCCCCGGTAGGAGAAGTGCGGGCGAATGAGGACAATCAAAGCCGGAAACCTGGAGTGAGAAATCAATTCACTTAGTCCTCACTTCCCGTCTTTGTCCTCCTCTCTCTCACAAGTTCCAGTGCTTCCAGTCGTTTTTGTCACCCCGTCCAGTTGTCGTCCGACTGGGAGCACTGCTCACGACACGTCCCTGAGCCGCCCCTTAAATACAAGTCGTTCCAGAACATCGTGGAATTCATAACAAATAAATATTCCACCATGCCCGCGAATATCTTCGTCTACCATTGCGAGTCCATTCGCACCTCCTACAACTCGCCCCTTCCCTCTTTTCCCCGTGTCCCCATGTGGTTCTGCACACCACATATTTTCTCAAGCGTCATTGTCAGCCAAGTATCCAGGTTCTCAAGCTCTACCCAATTGACGTCCCTTAGCGAACGGCTAGGGTTTGTGTCGCTTTTCAAGAGTGTCAGAAATGCCAGCACCTCGTACTGCTTTTTCCTCTATACCCGTATTTAAAAACCCTCATATCTACATCTCAGAGGGTGGAAGGGAAATTGTAGAAAATAAGTAATAACTTATCATAAGCAAATGTCCGAAAAGGGTTTGC